GCTTGTCTTCTACCCACCTTCCCTCTTATAAGCACAATTTTGGAAAATTCACCTTCTCTGGCTTATACCTAATGGGCAAGGGATTTACCTGTGGCTTGTCCGTGCTTGGGCTGGAGAATAGGACGGAGTTGTAGATCCCTGAGTCCTGACTTTTGATGGCAGTAAGGATCAAACTCATATCACCCAGAGACTCACTTTCTACTGGAGAGGCCTGTGTTTGGTTTTAACAAGGGGACAAGAGGTGGACAAGAATCCTAACTGAAGAGAGGTCCATACTCTTGGTACTTAAAATGGGGTCCCTGGACCTGGACTTGAAGAATCAGCAATACCTGGGACCTGGTTAGAGAAGCAGAATCTCAGGCCCCACCCAAAACCTACTGAACCAGAACCTGAGTTTTTAACCACATGCCTGGGTGATCCCCGTGCACATTTGATCGAGTTTGCAAGGCCCTGATCCACAAGATAGGAAACTGCTTAGCTGGTAAACCTTGTGTCACCATGTTGCAATCATGCCTGATATGTAATCAGTTTGTCAACTTCTATGATTACAAATTTATATCCAAAAGTACACTCAGGAGTTAAACCTTTTGTACCCTACTGAACATTTCCAAGAAGTCTCCTTGGAACCAATGATGTTAAGATCTCTTTAAATAAAGAGCTTGATCTCTGGCTGATGGATGAAATATTTTTTTTTTCTATTGTAGCAAAACATACATAACACAAATTTACCATTTAACCATTTTTAAGTACAGCTCAGTAGCAATAAGTATCTTCACATAGTTGTACAACCATCACCACCATCCATCTCCAGAACTTTTCCATCTTCTCAAACTGAAACTCTGTACTCGCTAAGCAATAACTCTTCCCACAGCCCCTGGTAACCACCATTCTGCCTCTGTCTCTATGAACTTAACTACTTTCGGTCCCTCTTCATATAAGTGGAATCATGCAGTATTCTTCCTTTCTCGTCTGGCTTATTTCACTTAGCATATTATCTTTAAGTTTCATCCATGTTGTAGCTCGCATCAGAATTTCCTTCCTTTTTAAGGCTGAAGAGTAGTCAATTGTATTTATCACATTTTGTTTACCATTCATTTCTCAGTGCACACCTGGGTTGCTTCTGTGTTTTGGCTATTGTGAGTGATGATGCTATGAACGTGGGTGTGGAAAGATTTATCCTTATAACCAGCATTCACGCCAGGCATGTAGCTGCCCTCTCCCAACTTCTCCGCATTCTTTCCTAGAGGCGTGCCACAATAAACATCGTAAAATTCCCAGTTAATGGATGTTCTCCACGAATTTTCTTGAACGTATTAAGTCTCCGGTTGGCTCCTCATTAAGAAAAGAATTTGCTGTTGTTGGGAGCGAAGCGTCTGTTCCATTTAGTGTCTCTGTCTGGGAGCCACGGCCTCCTGAAAATACACCCAGAGCTAGGGCCAAGGCATTAATTTGCAAAGCTCAAGTATTGATCTGGTGACACCATCGCCTTCCCCCGATGCTATTCCTATCAACCCAAATTATCTCTATGAATACAGAAATTGTTTTCTCGGTGCTCTGAGCAGCCGGTGACTAGCTGCTGGCTGATGGGCTGTGACAGAGAGGAGCCATCGTCTCATCTCTGGGCGATGGAGGCAGTCCCGCCAGTGTTGCTGGCAAAGAAATTTGCAGCTCTGAAGCCAAGGGATAGATCTCCACGTGGGCAGACTCACGGCTCCATTCTGATTTCAGCAACCTGCAACGGGGCTCAGAGACGGGCAAGGGGCCCTGAGCTTAGGGTGGAATTATTCTGAAGAATTATGTAAAGAATATTCTCTCCTCGAAAAGACCCAGTTTTTCTTCTGGAGCCTCAGATACTTGGTACTGTTTCAGGAAGGGGGGGGCAGGCTCTTAAGGGCTTTCCCTCAGTGGGGGCGCTCTTACACTCCGTACCCACTGTTTCATTCCCCACAACCCTGCTGGTGATCCCATCTGGGTAGGAAGAAGAGAGGGTTACAGCCACGCCAGCCCATTTGGAAAATAAATACTGAAACTTTGTTTCATCTTCTGTGCAATCACTTTTGTTTTGTAAACTAAATCTAAACCTAACGATAGCGGAACAAGCCAGTTCCCCATTTTCATGTTAACTCCTGGCCCTCGAGGATGATTAACTTGATCTAGAAGCTGAAAACGCACTTGTGCTCCTGTTTATGAGATCTGATTCCGAGCTTTCCAGAGAAGATTTGCACAGCATTAAAAAGGCTCTAGCAACTTAGGAGAGTCCACAGGTAAGGAATTTCCTGTTACCTGATTATAAAAGAAGAGCTAGAAGTCACAGCCAAATCGCAAGAGACAAGAAAGGGTGAGGGAGGACCTGCCAGTTTCAATCCCAAGAGAAAAGTTTGCAGGGTAGTGAACACGTTTGAGGAATTCCCAGGAGAGCCACTGACTAAACCAAGATATAAGATATGTAAGATGTGATGAGGTTATATAAATGCAAGGCCACAGAAACATATGATGGGCTGGAAAGATCCCAGGGAAGTCTGGGGTCATGCATAAGACAATAAAATATCTGTAGGCCACCACCTAGAATTTGCAATTTTCCTCCTCCCAGGTTTACCCCGATCTGTCCACTTGAAATGCCCCTTGCTGCCCTTTTCCTCTCCACTTACACATGCTTATCAAAATCTTACCACCCATGGGAACACTGCCCAGACTGACCCCTCTTGACTGTAATCACTCTTTTGCGCCCTCTCAAAATAAGTGTTCTGTTTGTCCCGGGGCAGCCCATGTGGCATTAATGACATATTTCTTTATGGGCGTTTTCATGACATTTTCCATATGTGTGGTGTGTGCTCCTAAACCAGTCTTTACGCTCCTTGAGGTAGGGGCTGTTTTGGGGAGAAGGTGGTGTTGGTTTGGGCCTTTTCTCTAGGGTGCTTCTCAAACTTTAATGTACATAGGGATCAGTAGGGGATCTTGCTAAAATGAAGATGCTGATTCAGTAGAAATAGGTTGGGCCGAGAGTCTGCATTTCTTTTCTTTTTTTTAGCAAGAGAAAATAACCAAATGTAACACATACATAAGTACGGGAACCCTGCATGCGTGAGAGAGTCAGAGATCCCATACGCGTGAGAGGTTCAGAGACAGAAAGGGAACATGGGACTATATGACATGCTGAGCCAGGGGTGAGGTAAGGTGCTTTAGGGGCTCAAAGGGTCACTGCAGAGTGATCAGAAGAGCGAGATTCTGCATTTCTAACCAGCTGCTGGTTGGAAGGGCACAATTTGAGTGGCAAGGCCCTATAACGCCCAGGATGGTGCTTTGATATAAACAACCAGACTTTCTAATGATAGTAGTTCCCAGGAAAGTTTCTCTTTGGAGGCCTGATCTCTTCAAGCAAATGCTCCCTCACTATAAGGCCTTTTCCGTTTGATCGCTACACTGTCCTCAAAACAAATTGGAGCCTGAGGACATGATTTTGTTATAGGGCATTTGTTTGAATTTTTGTTTAAATTCTAGGGATCCAAGGGGTTTTACTAATGTCATTTGGGAGGATTGGCGAGTTATTCGGGTGTGCGTGGCCCAGCCCTGTCATGCTAGGCCAGTCTTGCTTGGTAAGAGCCACAGTTATGCGCCCATCAGTGGGAGCACACTCAAGCCGCACAGGGTGCTGAGAGCCACTACTCCCCCTCTGGATCAGGGGCCCTCACTTTTCTCCCAGGTGGGTTAGGTAGGTGCAGGCAGAAATAAAGCTTACTTTGGTTCACCTCTGGCCAGTAAGTTTCCTGTGTGAAGTCCTGCTCTGTCAGAAGCAAAGAAGCCCCTCTTAGTCTCGCCTTGGAACACAGGAAGACCAGTCTTTAACTAGCATAAGCCGACTCCCACAAGTGCTTTTTAACCAGGAGGCAGAGCAGAGGGATGAGCGGGCACTAGTGAAACTGCAAAGACATCCGACTCTGGATGTCAGCGGGAGACAACAGGACCAGTCATCTCTCAGGGCCTTGGTTTAGTGTCTGTGAAATCAAGGTGTTAGGCGGGAAGATTCTTATCAGCCCTAATAGTCGGTGACTCTAAACAACATATGTGGAAAGGCCAGGAGCCCAGAATTCTGCAGCTGGCTAGGTGACGACACACTGTGACCGGGAGCCTCTTGGCTGGCTCTCGCCCTCCCACCAGTGTGGGCCCAAATGCTTGCCCTGTTCCGGTACTAAGTTATCCCCTCTAGACAATTTGGTGCCTCACATCTGCCAGCCTATGGTAGAAAGACTTCAAAAGATATGCCCTGTGCTGCCACCTAATGGTTCCCGTTCTATCGAGGCGATTCTTCAGCACCCTTAGTGGAGTGTGGAATCTTCAGGCCCTTTAGACATGACCTGCCAGCTCTGAGACTCTTAACAGGGCAGAATAAAAGCAGGAGACTTCCAGGTGCCACCTCCTTAAGGGACTCGGGGACTCTGACTGTAAGAGCTAAAAGGTTTTCGTAAACTTTGTAATTTCCTCCTTATTGTTATTTCCTGTCTGTTTCCCTGTAGTGATTAGCCGTAAAACTTGAAAAACAAAAAGGGCCAAGGTGTTTGTTTTCAAGGGCAGCAGGGAAACGGGGGGCTGGGGAGACAGCACTGCAGAGCTGGAGGTCAGCCACCCCAGGACATGGGGGGGGCGGAGCCGGGAATGGGGGCGAGGAGCCAGGGCTGAGTCTTCAGGCTTGTTGGAGAAAGGCGAGGGGGTGGGGATGGACTTGCATTCGGGCTGAAATGAAGGGGCAGTGTAACAGCACTGTCATTCTTTACTATTTTGTCTTCAGCTGTACCAGTCTGTTTTCAAGCCAGGAAAATGAAGTAAACGTGTAGCTATCAAACTGCTTTTTAGCAAAGGATACTCTCTAGAGTAAGCACCTTCAGTGCAAATGGCCTTTGTTCTCTGGACTCCGTTTGCCTTCAGACTGGATGTTCTGAATTGCAGTTCTTTGTTGTTCCTGAATAAACCCGTTTTGCTGGAGAACTATGGGCTATTTGTTTAAGGTCAACACATACCAATGAGATATTTATCCCAGAGGCCAAATCTTTGAAAATTTGGGTCTCCAGCAATTTGCATTCTAGAATCTCAAAGTTCGGACAGGATCCTTGCGAGGCCTGTGTCAGCAACAGCGAACTAGAATCAAACAAGCAAATACCAGAGGAACTGGGGAAATAAAGTGCTTCGTGTTTCGATTTGTTAATTTGTTCATTTTTCCTGTCCAGCTGGAAAGCCTTGAATGTACTCATTCAATAAATCAAGAAGCATTTATTGAGCACCTAATATGTGCTAAGTAACGCTAAGTAAAAATGTTTATGTAAAGGGCCAGAGAGTAAATATTTTAGGCGTTGAAAGCCGCAGAGTCTCCATCACAACTACTTTGCTTGCCAATTGTAGTTTCAAAACAGCTTTACACACTGCATAAATGAGTATGGCTGTATTCCGATAAAACTTTATTTACAAAGGGCAGCAGTCTAGATTTAGCTCATGGGCCATAGTTTGCCAATCCCTGATCTGGAAGATCTAAGAGAGCTTTTGGCCAATGCAACAGTTTTCTTTAAGGAAACCTATGTGGTTATGCGTTGCCTATAATGACAAGGAATTAGGTGATATATGTCTCTAATTTTAAAGTTATACTTGTCAGTAGGATATCCCAGATAGCTCTGTATAATTATTTAGTATAATGCAAGCTATCATAACTACCCTGTAAACATGCACAAATTATTATAAACATTGGAAATGATGCCGGCTCTACCTCCCTACCAGAGTTAGTTTGGCAAGGCTGTCTAAATACGAATTTAATTTATGACAGTTTCTCACAAAGGGAACCATTCCACAGGAGAACACTGAATATTTCACTGAGCTTGTTATCTCAATGGAGTGATTCAGTTCCTGTTTTGATTGGATTTGAAACTGTCGTAAAGAGGAAGCATAACATTGAGCACCCGTTTGTCTCCTGAGTCCTAAGACTTAACTGCTTGGAACTTTCAAAAATATGTTCTAAAACCAACAAACGAAGCTATATGTCACTTTCACCTTTACATTCTAATGAAGTAATAGTACACAGAAGATGCTAAAATAATTTCTGCTTTAGGAATGGAAGGCATTCAGACTGTGGCCATGTTGACTTCTTTAGATGTAACTTTTATGAAATAGCAACTACAGATGCCTAGCTATTTACATGGCTGTAGATACTGCCAATTGGGTACCAAAAGCTATCTGTGGCCCCCTTCTCTTTTGCTTTCTCCTAATATAGGCTCCCTTACAGGGAAGAGGACCCCGTGTTCCAATCTGGCCAACACGACATAAACACAAGTATCTGCCTGGGGTTTGTAAGAACATTTGCTCATAGGGGCTGATTCAAATTTGCCTCTTATTTCCCCCCTCTTCTCCCCAACCTGCAACACAGGTGCAGTGCCTTAGGGGTTCAGTCGCATTTTGTGATGTTGAGGACAAAAGCAGCAGACTGAGGACGGTAGTGTGCAAAGAAAGGAGCAGGACCGACAATGTCACTGAACAGCCCCGCTAGACCTGACCTGACCACCTTTGGGTTTCCTATTGCAAGGGAAGAAATGCAGTCCCTGTGGAGTAAAGCCATTGCCATCCGGTTTTCTATTACTTGCAACCCAACCCAATCCTATCTTCTTGGGGCTATTTAGAGTTTCCTTTCATTCTCTCCTCGACATTGTTCAGGAAATGAAATTTCTGGCATCCAGTGCAGTTGTATTAATTCTCCAACTCTTCCAGTGCCACTTAAAAAAGTTGGGTTAAAGACTTAAAATCTTGGTGCCAACTCAAAATTCACTGGTTTGTTTTGTTTTGTTTTTAGGAAGAAGTCCTATTATAATACATCAACATCAAGTTCAAAGAAAATGCCCTACAACATAGCTTCTAAGAAAATCAAAGGTATTGTCAACAGATTCTGAATTTGTTTCAGGTAGCAAAAATTTTATGCCAACAAACTGTCCAAAAAGTATCTGAATATAGTCTACATTTTAGAGTTTCATGGCCCCCCGACCAATCATATTTTGTGGCATATAGGTTAAGTTATTATAAAGACCTTTCAAATTTTTTATTTTAAGAGCTCCCTGTTGCCAAATTTTGGGTAATTTGGGCATCAAAAAGTTAATGATGGTAATGGGTTATAACACATTCAATGAAATGTAAAAAATTAATAAGTTCACAGTGATTCATAAGCATGCCAGCTAATGAATGTAGGCAAATGATAGAATTAGAGTTTGCACCTGCCAATATAGTGAGTGCTTCAGGGTAGCATCAGTAATGGACGCTAGAGCCATTGAGTGAAAGGATGTTGGAGAACAAGCTAATCATATGGTTTCCAAGTAGCATCCCACAAATTAATAATTCCGAAGGAAAAATGTGTTTTTACCATGGAGAGATCTGTTAGACACCATCTCAAAACCAAGCCATCAGACTCCCCACCACCCGTGGTAAGATCGCTTAGCGTGTGACTCTGCAAATCATTTCGCTTCCCAGAGTCTTGGTTTCCTCACCTACAAAAAGGAGATTATCTACATATGACAATGTGGATGAACCTGGAAAACATCGTGCTAAGTGAAAGAAGCCAGACACAAAAGCCACAGAGTGTATGATGCCATTTATATGAAATGTCCAAATAGGCAAATCCACAGAAGGGAGGGGTAACGGGGAATGATTTCTAAGCACTGTGAGATTTCTTTTTGGGGTGATGAGAATGTTCTAAAATTGATTGTGGGGATGGTTGCAAATCTTTATCAATATATTAAAACTAGCCCAGCCAGCGAGGCTCCATGGTTGAGCATCGACCTATGGACCAGGAGGTCCCAGTTCGATTCCCGGTCAGGGCACATGCCCGGGTTTTGGGCTCGACCCCCAGCAGGGGGGGTGCAGGAGGCAGCCGATCAATGACTCTCTCTCATCATTGATGCTTCTCTCTTTCCCTCTCCCTTCCTCTGTCTGAAATCAATAAAAACATATTAAAACATATATACACTAAAACTATTGAACTGTACACTTTTGATAGGTAAATCAAATTGTACAGTATGTGAATATATCTCAAAGCTGTTAAACGGGTAAAATATTTTAAAATTTTAGGTTAAGAAAAGGAGATTATAATACTGGTATGAGGTTTAAATGAGTCTTTGCTCTCATAACACCTCTCACCACCCCCCCCAACACACTGTTCATCACACCACATCCTCACTGTGCGCCTCTGTCTTGCCCACTGAGCTGAGAGCCCTCCGACAACAGAAACTTTCTGGTCCACCCAGGGCCAGCTTCCTGGGCGTGTGACCCGAGCAGTCGCACTAGCCCCCATACTCAGAAGGGTCCCACGTTTGGTCCAATGTCCTGCTGTCACCGTCCTGAAAGTCTTCGCTTCTGAACAAGGAGCAGGTGCCTCTCGTTTTCACCGCGCGCTGATGTTGCAGACTCTGTAGCTGCCCTGAATCCACCCTCGTGCCCACGGAGTCTAGCGCGGTACCCACGCTCAGTGGGTCTTCAGTGAAGGTTAATTGTCTTTCCCGGCCCCGGGACTGAGACTCCCCTGGGAACAGTGCTCTGACCTTGAGCAGAGATCCACCCAGAGCCCCCCGTGTGCCAGGCCCGGTGTCAGCCGTCGGGTTACAGCGAGGAGCCCGGGGGCAGCTGGAGGGAGGCTGTTCCAGCAGCGCGCGCCCCCTCCCCGCTCAGCTCAAACAGCCCCGGCCTTGGACTCATTGATGCTGCTCCTTAGAGACACACACAGCACCTTGGGGCCCTGAGCTTGTTTGTTCTGCTTTGTCGCAGGCACTAGGAGGCTCTGATGTAGGAGGATGAGACTCCGGAGCGCAAGAAAAGCCGACGGCCCTTTTCAGTACGCTTGCGGTCCGTCGCATTGGAATCTATTATTAAAGAGATCTGTCCGCACCTCTTAATTCAATTCTGTTTCTGTGGACAAAACACTATGCTAGGCACTGCTGACCGCAAGATGGTAGCTGGATCTTTTTTTTAAAAAATAATATCTTTATTGATTTCAGAGAGAGGAAAGGAGAGGGAGAGAGAGAGAGATAGAAACATCAATGATGAGAGAGTCACTGATCGGCTGCAGCCCGCTACCCGGGCATGTGCCCTGACCGAGAATCGAACCCTGATCACCTGGATCCTAGGTCGACGCTTAACCCCTGAGCCAAGCCCGGCCGGGCAGTAGCTGGATCTTTTTAAGCTTGTCGCACGAGCTCTCTGGACAGAGACGACAGTGGGCTAGGGCTTCGTGGGCAGTCAGCAGAGAGCAGTAGTCAAAACCCCCAAATTCCTCGCAGCCCCGCTTCCCCCTGATGGATGTGCTTTTACTAGGGGTGAGTCCCAGGGGCGGTTCCTCAATCTCTGTCAACTTCAGTTTTCTAATGAGTTTATACAGCCCTGGTGTCAAAGGGCTGTTGTAAAGACTGAATGAGATCAAGCGCGCATGAGTGGCAGTGTCCAGCACTTAGTCAGAAAGCCACCATAGAAACAGGACCTAAGACATCCTATGAAACTGGGCCGCTTTGCCCCCCGACGGCTCACCAGCGCTGCTCCTGGCACACACCCCGCGTTATAAAATTTCTACTCCAGCTAGAGGTGAAGGCACCAACTGCCCCCAACATCACCTGACGCTGCGAAGTCAGTGAGCTCGTCTCTCCCCCTCTGTCTTGGTAGTGACGCCCACACCTGGCTGCCACACCCCCAGGCCCACAGTGTTTCTGGGGGGAGGCTAAGCAAAGGAGCTGGGATGCAGCAGCTGCTGGTGGGGACGCTGGAAAGAGGGTTTGGCCTGTCCTGGCACCTTCTGCTTCTTTGGAACCTGGAGCCCACTCCTCCCTAGTACAGTCTGCCCCTTGAGCACCCGAGAAGTTGGGCTCTCTCCCCCAGCCCCAGCCCCCCATCATCGGCCAGTCATTGGAAGTGGCTGCTACCAAGGAGAACAGCATGACCTTGAGCAAGACAGGTGCCTTCAGTTCTTGAAGAGACACTCACCAGAGAGCTGTCAGCCAACCCTCCCAGCAGGCGGGGCGTGAGTGCCTCAGTCCTGAAGTGGGGAGCTGGGGAGGCCGCGCAGCACAACTCAATTACAGCAGCTAGGTGGCAGGAATTGTTGTTCTGAGTTTCAGCCATTCCTAGGAGTTCTGGGATAGAGACGGGCTGGGCGAGGGTAGAGAACATGCCATCTGCCAATGTCATAGTTGCTTACGGGGGGAGATTCATTGAAAGCTGCACCTATTGTGGTTTTCGTGCCTTTAACCAAACTTAGAGTCCATCCAAGCAAAAAATTTCTAAGCAGGTCAACAAAAAGTACAAAGAATGCGTTGATCATAAAATATTCACTCCTTTGAAGATTCTGCTTGCTTTTTAAAATCTTTATTGTTGTATAAATGTAATGTTTATAGTCAAAAACAAAAACAAAAAAAACCCCTTGTGCTCTGGAAATAGACAGGAGTAGTTGTTAATCCCAGCTCCATGATTTATACTCTGAGTGATCTTTATTTAGTGACCAGTGTAATGAAGCTAATATTACAAACACGTCACTGGATTAATGAGGTAATGTACCTGAGGTACCGAGCACATACAAATTGCTAAATAATATTTCTTTTTCTTTTCCTCTCCTCCTCATCACTATTATTTATACTGCATTTCCCTGACTGAGCACAGGAGAAGATACTAGGCTCTTGATCTTCAACTCCTGCTCTACTAATCCTGATTAGTGGTCCACTCCCCAGCATATTGATGCTTTGCTTATTACTTTTTATTTTTTGCTTTTTATTGAATTTATTGAATTTCGGGGGTGACACTGGTTAACAAAATCATACAGGTTTCAGGTGCCCAATTCTACAGCACAGCCTCTGTACACTGTATTGCGTGTTCACCACCCCGAGTCAAGCCCAAGTTCACCATTTACCCCCCTTTCCCCTCCTCTACCTCCCCCCACCCCTTTCGCCCCTGCAGTCACCACACTGCTGATGTCCGTGTCCGTGATGAACTCGTTTGTTTTAGAAAGATGGGGCGTAGTCAGATAATGAATGATATGCTCTAAGTGCCAGGCTAAGAGATGGACACGCGTATTTTATTGACAGTGGGGAGCCACTAAAGGTTTTTGGAGCAGATATCATTAGGAAATAAAAGAGGTGAATCCAGATTACTTAGATGGGGGCGTGTGAAGACCCCCTGAAATTTTGAGTAAATATTTGTGTGAATAGTCATGTTTCTTTTTCCGGGAAGAGAGTCGATAGGTTTCATCCAATCTCAAAGGCGTCTGAGACTTCAGAACAGGCTAAGAATCACTGGCGTAGCGGTCGCCAGCTTAGATGACCAGCAGCGTGGTAATAGCATTCAAATGAAAAGGGGGCCCTGGCCGGGTGGCTCAGTGGGTTGAGCATCCTGGAAAGGTCGCCGGTTCGATTCCCGGTCCGAGCTCATGCCCAGGTTGTGGGCTCGATCCCCAGTGAGGCTCACGATTGATGTTTCTCTCTCACTCTCCCTCTCCCTTCCTCTCTCTCTAAAAAAAAGATCAATAAAAACACATTTAATAAAAAGGAAAGAAAAGAAAAAAGGGGTCCCAGGGCAACAAGTAAGGAGGTGGGTTTGGCTGGAGGAGAGCAGAAATGATCGCTTTCTCTGAGATCTGTGGCTTTTACGCCACTGTAGGTGGGTTTTCCAGCGGGCACGGAGATGCGGAACCCCTGTGGCCCGCCCAGGACCGCAGGGCCGCAGCCACAGGCAGGGGAGCGACCTCCCTCCCAAGCCGGAGTTTGAATGACATCGTCAAGAAAAACAGATAAGCGGGCCAAGGACAGATCTTTGAACATATTTAATCTGCCTGCTGTGCCTTTTCCTAAGTGCTTTCTGGCATTATTTTCCTCTGCACAGGAAATTCACATTTTGAACTTCAGTTCCTAAAATACATTAAATCACACTTTGGCTTCTGAGGAGGGGCAGGAGGGGATGCACATAATGACTGCTTATGTGCTTCACGTCTCATCTGAGGAAATTGCCTTTTCAAAATGATCGGGTGCTCCTGACCCTGTCAGAAAGCCGGTGGGTATTTGGGGCTAGGTTAGGAAGTGTGTAGGATAATTGTTAGCATGCAGGTGGTCTAGCTCTAGCCTCCCATTGAAATCTCTGGAGCCCACAGAATCCCTCCTTTCCTTGGAGAGGAAGGAAAAGATACCTGTTCCCCCTTACCTGCTCATGCCAGGAAAGCTACTCGAAACATTTGAGTAGAAGGGGTGGCCTTTTCCCACCTAGACCCCCTGTTATGGGTTGAATTATGTCTCCTCAAAATTCCTATGTTTGAATCCTAAGGCCCCGCACTTTAGAATGTGATCTTATTTGCAAATAGGGTTCTTGCAGATGTAATTAATTAAGAGGAGGTCATAAGGGTGGGCCCTAATCCAATATAAACGGTGTCCTTATTTTAAAAAAGATAATTTGAGTCAGAGACACACACACACAGAATGTCATGTGAAGATGAAGGCAGAGACCAGGTGATGCTGCTACAAGCCAAGAACACCAAAGATTGCCAGCAAAACACCAGAAGCTAGGGGACAAGCTTGGAACTGAACCTTCTTCCCAGCTGTCAGAAAGAATTAAGGCTGCCCACACCTTGGTCTCGGATTTCCAGCCTCCAGAACTGTGGGACAATAGATTTCTGTTGCTGAGCCACCCAGGTCGTGGTTCTTAGCTACCGTAGCTCTTGAAAACTAACACCCTCCCTTTCTCTACAACTGTAGACGGTTCCATTCTGCGGCCGGCAAGTCCAGCCCTGGTTTCCTGACCCGAGCCTCAGAGAAGGCGGAGCTGCAGCGGCCTGTCAGTCAGAGCTTGCCAGGTACGCAGAGCTCCGTGGAAGTCAGCGGGCCGAGTGGCCTGGCGACCTCCTACCCTGCCTTGCCCTGCGGGGACACTCTGTCCTGTGTGTGCTGTGGCTTAAGGGAGGGGGCCCCAATGTAGAGCCGAGTGCTAACTCTCTTGAAGGATCAAAATATTCAACCCCAAGTCTGGAGCATGGATTTTGCTCAACCTGGCTCCTAAAAGCCTTTGTTCTGAGCCTCTCTCTCCCATCATCAGGCTGTTACCAACTTGTCTTTAGTCGCCAGATGACGAGGTTTCTGCGGTTACCTACAAGCATGCAGCAAGGTGTCATTCCTAGGAGGCTTTGGGATAAAACAAAAAAGACAGGGCCTCTTTCTTTCTGAGGTACCTAGGAAAATTATTACCGATAAATCAATATGTTATCTTAGATTTACTTCAGAGCAATATGAGAGTTAGAGATGGGGAAGGCAGGTGGAAGTACAGATGAAACAAAGCTGGCCATGAGCTGATAATTTTTGAAGCTGGGTAATGGGCACACAGGAGTTTCTTATACTATTCTGTTTGCTTTTATCTATGCTTGAAATTCTCTATAATAAAAAGTCAAAAAATGTAACCTAGAGATAGTTACACCCAGAACCAAATTAAAAGTCTTATAAAGGGTAAGCTGCCAAACATGACCAACCTGGCTGTGAAGATTTTAAAGACAGGGCCCCAAAGTTCATTGGCATTTTTCCCATTAAGCGGAGGGCTCTCTGTCTCTGCCTTTTGAACCTGGATGAATTTGTGATTGCTCTGTCCCATAAAGTTCAGAAGTGGTAGTATATGACTTCTGAGACTGGGTCATAAAAGGTGCTGCAGCTTTCTCCTGGTTCTCCTGGAAGCTCGCTCTGTGGGCAGTCAGTCACCACGTAAGAAGTCTAACCCCGAAACCACCTGCTGGAGAGACCATGTGTAAACGATTTAGGAGGCAGCCCACGCTGAGCTCCCAGCCAACTGCCCAGCATTAACTGCCAGCCATGCGAATGAGCCAACTTGAACGTCTGGCCCAATCATGCCTTCAGATGACTGCAGTCTCAGCCAGCATCTAAATGCAGCCTTGTGAGAGATCCCAAGGTAAAACTGCTCATCAGAGCTCTCCTTAATTTCCTGACTCATAAAATCACAAGCAAAAGAAAATGGTTGTTTTTTTTACACCACTACGTTTGGGGGTAATTTACTATGCAGCAGTAGTCACTGAAACACTGATCAAGAACCAAAATTAAGACTATACAGAATACTAAAATTGCTTTTCACTTTTTGAAAACATGAGGATTGTGCCTGAAAAAGTCATGAATCCCTTGGGATGTCCATATTTTCATTTATGAATTGACGTATAGAAAGGAACTTAGGTCACCTCTAAGAATCCTTCGAGTTCTAGCCTTTTCTAATCAATAACGACAAGTAGGCAAATATTTATAGCATTTGTCCAGTTTTTCACTTATGTGCAAATTATCTTTTATTTAAACAGCATCATGTATTAATTCTTTCAATAACTTTTTGACTCAAGCACCGTTGCTAGGTGCTGGGCACTGCTTTTATATCATCTGAGGGAACTTGTTGATTCAAAGTTAGGCCTGGTGTAAGCAGGGCAGACTGCCCCACATCCCAATTGCCCCTTTTCCCAACCCCCTTCATGCTTTTGCAGGTTTACGTGAAGTCAGCACTAGAACACTCCATTCCATAATTAAAAAGCCAAAACGCCCCCACCAATTTTATAATGTTTATCTTGTGTGTTTGTGTATATATAATTTTTTTCTTTCCCCCATACAAAACATGTCTCTAATAGTTGGGCCATAAATCAGACTACCTATGTCCTCTCCTCGGGTTCAATAATTTGCTAGGATGGCTCATTGAACTCAAGGAAACACTTTGTTCTGCTCACTGGCTAATTATAAAGAGCATATTAAAAGATATTAAATGAGCCCTGGCTGGTTTGGCTCCGTGGTTAGAGCGTTGGTCCTCGGACTGAAGGGTCCCAGGTTCGGTTCTGGCCCAGGGCACGGACCTCAGTGGCAGGCTCGATCCCTGGCCCTGTGAGCACTCGAGCGGGAGGCAACCAATAGATGTGTCTCTCTCACATCGACGTTTCTTTTCTATCTTTCTCCCCCTTCCACTCTCTCTGAAAAGCAATGGAAAAAATATCCTTGAGTGAGGATTGAAAAAAAAAAAGATGAGGAGCTGGGTCCAGAGATATACAGGCGAGGCCCAGAAGTGTCCTAAGCACAGGAGCTTCTGTCCTGGGGAACCGGGTGTGCTACCCTCCTGGCATGTAGGTGTGTTCATCAGCCCAGAAGCTCTCTGAACCCCATGTTACCGGAAATTTTATGAAGTCTTTACCACATAGGCATGATCAATCATTAATTCCATTTGCAGCCCCCCTCCCTTCTCTGGAGAATTGAGGAGGAGCCTGAAACTTCCAAGCTTCTAATCATGGTTTTGTCTTTCTGCTGATCAGTCTTCATCCAGGACCCACCAAGAGTCACCTCGTTAGAATAAAAGACAGTCCCATCACCCAGGAAATTCCAAAGGACTTAGGAGATCAGTGTCAAACCTTCCTATCAGGAAATTACAAGGACCTTAGGAACTCTGTGTCAGGAACCAGGGTCAAGGACTGAATGTTAGAACAAAAGATTCTTTTAGTACCACTATTTACAAGGGTTTTAAGAGCTTTGTGCCAGGAACTGGGAGTAGAAACCAAATAATAGCTTATTATTTCTATAAGATGGTATCTCACTTCTTAAAAAAAATGTAAATTCCAGTTTATTTTAACTAAAAAAAAAAGTTCACCCATATCTACCGTTCTCCAACCCCAACTCTTGCAACCACCAATCTGTTCTCTGAATCTGAGCTTGTTTTTGTTGTTTTGTTTTAAAGTCCACATTTAAGCACCATCACAAGGTATTTGTCTTTCTCTGTCTGACTTATTTCACTTCAAGGTCCATCCAGCCATGCTGTTGCAAATGGCAAGATTTAATTATTTTTATGACTGAATAATATTCAAATATATATATAATATAATATTCAAATATATATATATGAGCTATATATATAATTTCTTTATTCATCTACCTATGGACACCTAGGTTGTTTCCATATCTTGGCTATTGTAAATAATGCTGCAATAAACATGGGGGACATACATATTTTCAAATTAGTGTTTTTGTTTTTTTCAGATAAATACCCAGATGTAGAATTGCTGGATCATATGGTAATCCTATTTTTAATTTTTTGAGGAACAATTATACATTTTTTTCCAGAGGGTTTGCACCAGTTTACATTCCCACCAACGGTGCACAAGGGCTCCCTTTTCTTTGCCTCCTTACCAACGCTTGTTATTTCTTGTATGTTTGATGACAGCCATTCTCACAGGTGTGAGGTGATATCTCATTGTGGTTTTGGCTTGCGTTTTCCTGATAACTAATGATGTCGAGCATCTTTTCATGTACCTGTTGGCCATCTGTATGTCTTCTTTGGGAAAAAATGTCCTCTTCAGATCCTCTGCCCATATTAAAATCAGTTTGTTTGGTGTGTTTTGTTTTGTTTTTCTATTGAGTTGTATGAGTTTTTTGTATATTTTGGATATTACCCCTTATCAGATATGTGATTTGCAAATATTTTCTCCCATTCAGTAAATGGCCTTTTCTTTTGTCTGACGTAGTTCCACTTGTTTATTTTTACTTTAGTTGCTTCTGCTTTTGGTGGCAGATTCCAAAAATTATCACCAAGACCAGTGTCAAGGAGCTTCCTGCTTATGTTTTCTGCTAGGAGTCTTAGGTATCTACTTTTAACTTCATGATACAGCCTCCAAATTTTGCTTCAAGATAACAGCGTCAAGGGATAATAATAGTTAACATTCGCGGAGTGCCAGGCACTGTGCTAAAAGCTTTCTCTGCATTGTCTCATTCAGTTTTCACCACAGCCTTATGAGGTTAAGATTATTATTGGCCCTGTTTCACAAACGAGGAAACTATGGCCTTATTATCCAGTCAGTGGAAAGTCCCAGATTCCCACCCAGGTCCAAAGCCCGTCTGCGCTTTTAACCTCTAAGCTATCTTTCCTCTGTAATTAAGAAGTTAAGTCTGAGCAAGATCCTTTATTTATTTATACCATTGCCTTATTCCAGAAAGGGGTTCAGGCATTTGGGTAAGTAGCTTGTCCAAGATCACCCAGGCCGTAGGCGGCGGGGCCAGCGATCAGATCTCTTTCTCCCACGAGCTGTATAAACTAAGTGAGGTAACGCAGAGGGGGACCCGCATCATCTCTTTCCTCATCAACAGCAGAGAGGGAAACGGGGACGTTTGCTTTGGCTGGCTCCCACCTTCATCCTGGTTGGGTATGTTCTTGGCACCAGAGCTCCCGGCTCTGTCTTGAGAAGGGATAAGACAGGAGGGGCTCGGGATCAAGAGGGTGGGCGGCAAGCACACAGGGGTGGGGGGGCTGCTGTGATGAGCAGGTGACAGGAGAGTCCCGGGCCTGTCCCATACCAGGCACATGCACCCCCCTGCTTGGTAGAAGGCCGCAACCTGCAAGCACCGCGGCGGGAACCAACAGCCTGCAGGAGGGAGGGCGAGAGGGGACAGAGAAAGGGTCAGATGAAGAGACAGGCAGAGCTGGCAACCCCTGTGCCAGGGGAAGCCGAGGGAAGGCGGTGGGAGGAGGCTCCAGTGCCTGCCCAAGGCTGAGAATAAAAATAGCTTAACTTGGTTGTACAAGGTTTCAGAGGAGAAACCGTATGAAAGGTCAACACCACCACAACAGCTTGCTTTGTGTGTGTGTTTTTAAATCCACAAATCCTACAGTATCTCAAATCGGGGACAGTCCCTTCGCGTCTGAGCGATGAACAGCTGCCAGGCCCTCTCGGTTGTCCCTTCTTGGGCCTGTAGCATCACCCCGCTTGAGACAAAGACTTCATCCATCTTTGCACTTCTAAGACTCAGCCCAACAGGGCTGTGTAAGGAACTGCC